TTGGGCCTGGAAGCAAACTGGGATCCAGTGTGGTATGATGTGGCCGCTAGGGCCCACTCCAGGCAGCGCTCTGACCACAGCATTGTGTACCAGCCGTAGCTTGCACACAGACTTCAAGGGCAGCCCTGTGTAGTATGCACTGAAGTAATCTAATCTAGATTTTACCAGAGCATATATTACAGTGATAAAATCTTTCCTGCTCAGGAATGACTGCAGATCTTTGCATTTATGTAGTATCAACAAAGAATAAAAATACATTATCTTATTGTCCAAAGTAGGGTTGCCAACTCTGGGTTGGAAAATTCCTGAAGCTTTTGGGGTTGGAGCTATGAGAGGGTGGGGTTTAGGCAGGAATGGGACTGTAGAATTCAACTTCCAAAGCAGCGATCTTATCCAGGGGAACTGATCTCTGACATCTGGAGATCAGTTGTAATTCCAGGAGATCTCCAGGAGATTGGCAACTCTAGCTAAGCTGATAGGAAGAAAGAACAAATTCAGAGATCATGGTTTTGCCATGTGTTTTTATATCTGGTTCTGAGTATGAGAATCAAGTTTCAGGAAAAGAGCACGCTTCTGGTCCGGTGCCACCTAAAAACTAACAAGATTTCCAGGGTATAGGCTTTCAAGAAACAAAGCTTCCTTTGTCAAATGTCTCTCCAAAGCTTATATTTCCAAAGCCCTGGAAATCTTGTTGCTTTCTTCTACAGTCATCAGAGCCTAGAGACAAAAATCAGTTCCCCTGAAGAAAATGGCTTCTTCGGAGGGTGGGCTCTGTTGCATTAAGTTCCACTGAGGCCCTCTCTGTCCCCAACTCTTCCCAGACTCCACCTCCAAATATCCAGGAATTTCCCAAGCCAGAGTTGGCAACCCAGCCTCTAATAAAATTATATTGTAAGCTTCACATCTTAAGTTCATTGCAGTAAGGCTTCCATATTGGTTCCATGGTCAGTTGGATAACCAACTGTCAGGAATTATTAAGATTCAGGTGACTTGCTGGAAGGTTCTTGATCTTGAAATAGTCCTTGGAAAGACTTGAAAGGTCGTATAATTAATCATTCTAGAACTGGGGTGATTTTATGTACAGACATTTAGATAGGACTGAAGGTCAGTATTTCTTAGTTATGGACAGTGAAGTATATTAATATACTTGGACAAGCAGTTCTGGGTAGCCAAGAGCCTTTTTCTGGAACATGAAGAATGTTGATAGCCTTCATTGTATTGCTAAAAAAAGAATGTCATTCTTAACATTATGCACAGCATAAAATGAAGTAAATGGCTTCTTGACTTCCATTCAAGGAAAGCAATGGTATGTGCATACCAAAGGGCACTAAGGTAGGGATAAATATGGAATTGTATTCTGGAATGCAGCTACATAATATGGCAGCTATTGACTGTATCATTCCACTGTGCAAGCAGAGCATCTGACTGAGTCAAAGGCTTGCTCTTTAATTGTGTATTTGCTAACAATAGAAGCTAAGTTAATAAATGTGTTCTCTCTCCCTGGGCTTTTATCTCTCTCTAGTGTCTTCCACATGGGTTATCTACCCTGAGTTCAGTGCTTTGGGGGGGTTCCCCCCTTGTTTTTCCATAGCATTGTGGTGCTTTTGTGCACACTGGGGTGTGTGTTGGGGGGGGGGGCTCAACTTTTTCCAGTCTTTCTCAAACCTGCTCTCTGAGTTCAGGCAGGCACCTGTGCAAGAGGCAATAAGCATAGTCCAAACACAGTCCAGGGTCAAAGCACAGCTAACCAAAAGTCCAAGCATCAAATGAGAAGGGCACATCCGAAGAGTTCAGGCCAGGCCATGGTCCAGAGGGTCAAGCAAACAGGAATCTTAAACTTGACAGGACAGCACACAAAGGCTGTGGACAAGTTGCTTCCAAACTGGCTTTCCCTCTTCTGGCTGCTTTGGCAGGAGTCATTTATGGGCCTGGTGCAACTCATCAACCTGCTGAGTCCTCCAGGGACAGGTGCACGTCATTGATGGCTGAACAGCCTACAGGGCTTACAAGGTTTTATTCTGGGTATAAGCTTTCCTGTCAGTGTGGGCACCCAAACGCTTATACCCAGAATTAAACTTTGTTGGCCTTAAAGGTGCTACTGGACTCAAACTTTGTCCTGTTGCTTCAGACCAACATGTCTACCCACCTGAATCTAGCCTACAGGGCAGTTGGCCCTGATCCTGTGATGATGCTAACTCACAGGCAGAGACTGACCAGTGCTGGGTTGCCAGCCGCGCACTACAGTTCCACTCCTGCACCTTCCTCCAGGCCTGCCTTCTCCAGCATTTCATGGGCTCTGGTGACCCCAGGGGTGAGGCTGGTGGCTGCAGGGCCTCTGCTTCACCTTTGAATCCCAGGGCATGGCACTCTGACTTCAGCCTGTGACTCCCCAACTGCACCTGATGGACTCTCCACCTTGCCTGATGGCTCTTCCTGCAGCATCTGAGGGCTGCGGCTGGCTTCCTCCATCTCTTCCTCATCCAAGGAGGTGTTGGCAGGCAGACCCATGACACCTACTTTGCTCCAAAGTTTTGTGAAAGATCATAGTAAAGCTTGGATGGCTGCTATTGGTGGGAAGATTAGGATTTTCTGGTCCACATGGCATCGGTTTTCCCTATTCCTGTCCCCGTGGCAGCCATTTCCTCCTCCTGGCCACTGGGGGAGCTTTTTATTTTTTAAAAGATTGGCACTAGGATATTGTATCAATATAGCGTTGTACCAATATGTGTAGCAATTTCTCTAGTTTCCCTAGCTTTCATTTTTTATAAAGTAAGTCTCTGTCCTCTTCTGTTGCAGAAATATAAGGGAAAAGGCCATCTAGTGAACATATATGTATGGATGAGTTTGCATACACACGTAGCTAATAAAAACAGAAGAGTGGAAGATATACAAATTAAGAAAGAGAGGGGATGAATAGGGGCATGAGGGTAGATTCAGATGGAAATTTAACCATAATCTTCATGTATGCTTATGAAGCTGGCTGATTCTGAATGAGACCATTGGTCTATCAAGATCAACAGTGTACTCTCTTAGAAGCATTTGCTCTCCAGGGTATTAGGTTGGAGGTCTTTTACATCACATACTACCTGATACTTTTAACTGGATATGCCAGGGATTGAACCTGCGACCTTCTGAAAGCAAAGCAGATGTTCTGCCACTGAGCCACAGACCCATACTGGACCAATGATACTTACAAAATTCCTAGGAAGTCTATTTAGTTTCTAGCCATTATATCTATTTTTTCATACTAATTCAGTATCCATAGTACATTTCCAATTGTAGGAATAGATGGAACAGTTAATCTTCCCTTTCCCCAGAGCCACTGCCTTGATCCAGATCTCACAGACCACAGTAGCTCCTTTCTATGGCCAGATCATGTGTCTGGAGTGTGAATTATGAAACGTCAAGACTCTCATGTAGTTTTGCCCCGAGAATCAGTAGATATTTTAAATCTTGCATAGAAGCTGTTAGTTATAGTCATGGAGAATAAAGAGTCCCTGCCTTTTAGGAAATATTCTTATCAACCAGGAGCTTCTTCTCAGCTAGCAGATGAAAATCACTGTGCTCAGCTGGAAGAAGAAATGCTGCTCAGCTGGAAGGAATTACAGTGTTCAGTTAGCAAAGGTGTCAGATCACTGAGCTGGATCACTGAACAAGGTGGCTCTTCTGCATAACACTGTCTTGACATCAGGACTTTTCAGCAGCCTTAACTTCACCGCATATGCTCCCTTCAGTTGCTCAGTAGTCAGGAGACCTCTCCCCCCCCCACTAATCTTACCATCTGCAGGGTACACAAGACTGTGTCATTAAGAGAAGCTGGCTAACCTTTCAGTGATCCCTGTTCCTTGCTGTCAGCATGTGCTAAAGTGCAGATTTCCCCCTGCTCTTTGCCTTGCTTTCAAAGACAGATGGGGTGAGAATGAGCGGGTGCAGCGAATGAGCATATATTCTTTGTACGTTCCTGCTTGCTAAATCCTTGTCACAGAATACTATTTACTGGTTTCCTATTTCCAAGATTAGAGCTTTCATCAGTGGAGTACTCATGTAGTACTAATATTTTTGGCCAGACTTCCCTGCATCAAAGAATGAGAGTTATAGTCAGAAGTCATTTCGGGGGGGATCGCGGGGGATCGCAGTTCCCCCGGGTGAGGTACGGGGGCGGGGCACATGACGAAGCCCTGCTTCCGCCCACCCCGCTTCCGGCCCTCATTCAGCCAGGAGGAGGCAGGAGAAGAGGGAGGGTAAGTTGCTTCCTCCCTGCCTCTCTCCACCCCTGCCTGCCTGGGGCCGGGGGGGGCCTTCGCAGGGCTTCCTTGCACTCCCGTCGGCCTTGCAGGTCCACCGCTGGGCCCCTCATGGGGCTCGGCAGTGGAGCTGCAAGGCCGGCGGCGGTGGCTGGGACCGTTGGGGGCGGTGTGTGTGGCCTTATGCTAATGAGTTCCCCTAGCTCTTTTTCTACGAAACTACCCCTGGCATTACTTAAATCAAAAGGTTTTTGAAACACACGGCACCACAACTTGCATCTCTAGAAGTACCTTGGCCTTCTCCTTGCCCAGTGGAATGGCTGAGAAAGGAGTGGAGGCCTGCACTGTAATGACTTCTCATTCCAAATACACAGGAGCCAAAAGAATTTCAGCACAAGCCCATGCATGTCTACCTAAGGGGTAGTTCCCATTATTCTCAATGGGTCTTACTCCTGGAAAGTGAGTATGGGATCATATCCTAGGAGTGCAATCCTATGCAGAGCTACTCTCGTCTAAGCCCTCTGATTTCAGTATTGACTGTTCATGTGATTTTGGCCTTTATCTGGGATTTGATGTCTGTAGTGGGCACATTATACAGTGTTAGGCAAGTTCCTGTAGATGTGACAGAGCTCTCCTTTATGTGTGTGTCCTGTTTACAAGTAAAATGGGAATTTGTGGGGGTGTCTTCTTCTGCATTTTCTCCCGATATACTGAGTTAATTGCAACATTTCTTGTTTTCTTTTGTCTTCTCTGCAGGAACGAGTGGAATATCTCTTTCTCATAATTTTTACAGTGGAAGCATTTTTAAAAATAATAACATATGGACTCCTCTTTCATCCTAACGCTTACCTCCGCAATGGCTGGAATTTACTAGATTTTATAATTGTGGTAGTAGGGTGAGTACTGTTGTCTCTTTGTGTATGTGTATTCTTGCTCTTGAAGCACAGAAATTCCATTGCTGGGAATGGAAATGCTGTTTGTAAGATGCAGAGGAAGAGTTCATGGACATCTTTTCTGATAGAAAATCAATGTCTTCAAAAGGAAGACTTGTAGAAATTCAGCAGATGAAGCCTTTCCTGATTTGCAGTGCAATTCTAAATGAAAGTTCCACCTAAATGAGAGCCAGTGTGGTGTAGTGGTTAAGAGAGGTGGACTCTAATCTGGAAAACCGGGTTTGATTCCCCACTCTTCCACATGAAGCCTGCTAGGTGACCTTGGGCCAGTCACAGTTCTCTCACAGCTCTCAGCCCCACCTGCCTCACAAGCTGCCTGTTGTGAGGAGAGGAAGGGAAGGTGACTGCAAGACCCTTTGGGACTCCTTACAGTAGAGAAAAGCAGGGTATAAAAACCACTTCTAAGTCCACTGAAGTCTGTCGACTTCAGGACTGCATTGTCAGCATCCTTACAGTGTACACGTGTCTCTCTAGATTTCTATACACTGATCTCTATTTGGGTGCTTTGCGCATTACCTCTTAAAATAAAGGAAGAAACATTAATTAGATTCAGATGTTTCAACTGAGGAAGAACTTCTAAATATGTCAGGGAGAAAGCTAGGCTGGAATAATTATCCATGACACACTAGTTTTCTGTGTAAAGGGATTTTTATTTTTATTGGTATGGAGGAGCATGCTGCCAGGGGATCCTTCTTTTCGAGTCTGAAATGGTGCAGCTTGGCTTTACTACCTCAGTGAGAAGTAGGCCAGAGTCCAAAGCTTCTGTGTGAAATCCTGTGAGAATGGAAATGGAAGAAATTTAAGACACAATGAGCACTTTAGGGTTGCCAGCCTCCAGGTGGTGAAGAAAACAGCCGTGATGTAGTATTATGAATATATATATTTAAACTGCTATTTTGCAGTGGGTAGTGTTTCTTCAACAGGTAATCAAGATGTACGCGCGCGCACAACAGCATGTTAAGAATTTGTTTCCTTGAAGTGGGAAGAATGTTGAGTGTTAAGTCCACAGATGAGTATTGTTGACGTGTAAACTAATGTTACTCATGCAGCACACTGAGATAAAGCGGTCATGTGAAACGGGAATTTATGCAAATTCTGTTGTGTGTGTGCGTACATCTTGATTACCTGTTGAAGAAATACTACTCACTGCAAAATGGCAGTTTAAATATATATTTTCATAATACTACATCACGGCTGTTTTCTTCATTGTCTGCATCCTTCCCGTGATCTCTCTGTTGTTTCTACATACAGCCTCTAGGTGGTGGCTGGAGATCTTTTGGGATTAACAGAGATCAGTTCCCATAGAGAAAATGGCAACATTAGGAAGTGGACACTACGGCATTGTACCCCGTTGTTGTCCCTTCTCTCCCCAAACACTGCTGTCCTTAGTCTCCATCCCCAAAATCTCCAGGTATTCCCCAACCTTGAGCTGGCAACTCTCACTTTCTGCCTTGCAAGGAGCAACGTATTCCAGAAGCTCCAAAATACCTCTCTTCTTTCTGCAGTTTTTAAAAATCCCCTCTCACATCCTCACCAAATCATCATTTTCTGCTATGATTTTCACCTCGTGTTACCTTAATGCATCTGCATTACTTTTCTTTTCCTGTTACCACCCAACATTATGTAAACCAACACTCAACAGAGTATTCTGTTCTATTTCTGTTCTGTCTGTCTTGGTAGAGTTTTGATCTCAGTACACTCTGTTGCTTTCCACACTGTCTAAGGGCAGATGCAGTATATGATACACAAGAAACAGCAGTCTTGTGGCATCTTAAAGGATAATAACTTTTATGAAAACAATTTTGTTAGTCTTTTATAAGGCCCACATGAGTCCTGCTGGTTTTTGCTGCACTAAATTAATATGGCTGTCCCACTGGAATTATGGCACACAAGGTTTCTTTCATTTTTACTTTGGTTGTTTGAGAGTACTGACTCGTCAAAAGCTCTTACAACAAAAATTGGATCTGAAACAATTGAGTTTTGTGATGGTTCTCAGTGTCAATGAGAGACTTTTTCTTACAGCCAGTAAACTGTAAGATTAGCCTTTGCTTTTCATCATTCCTTCTAACAGTGAACTTGTACTCTTGCCTGTCAATAGGACACAGAAACAGGGCTGCAAACAACAGATGTTTATGTTTATTTAGAGGATTATCCAGGTGTGCAGAAAAACATTACTTTCAATGTCTCGTCCTCAGTAGCCCAACAAGCACTGAACAGGTGGGGAGGGAAATTGGCCTACTTGAGCAGTGTTACACCATATACAGGTTTCCTAATCTTTATCCACCCCCACAATTTATCACGGGCCTACTATAAATGAAGTAAATAAACGTGGTTTCATAAGAAGGCAGTTTATAGGCATATGTTTATAGGCAAAAGCTAGTGGCTTCATCTCTAGAGCTCCTCCTCCCCCCAATCAGAAAAAGAAGGAAATGTGAGTTAGTCAGTCAGTACCTTTATTAGCACTAAAAAAAAAAAAAAGGAAATGGAATGCATGATGTTGTCATGCCATGCATCGCTTCCCCTTCCCCCTTGACAGCCAGTGTTTGGGGAAAGGGCCAGGGAAATGCACTTTGCATGACTAGAAGAGAAGGATGGGGAGCGAAACACAGGACTCCTGTTTTTGGAGGGGATGTTAATTTTGCCCTGTGGTAGAGTTTTGCTGTACTGACTAGCAGGCTCAGAGTATCAGGTGCCAGAAGTCAAGCCAAGCAGAGCCATTCAGTCCAAAGGTCTGGGATGCAGAAGTCAGGCAAGGCAAAGTCACTCAATCCAAAGGTCAGTATTCCACAAGTCAGGCAACACAAAGCCAGTAGGTGAGCATCTATCACATGCATTGCATCCACACCTAGCAGTCTCCCTTGGCTGGTTTTTATAGCCATTCACTTAAGGGTCATGCTGCTCGGTAATGATCCTGAAACTATTCTACTCATCTTTGTTATCAGCAAGCAGCTGGTGTTGGGCCAGGAGGTGCCGCGTGCACTTTGCCGTCTCTTCTGTAGCTCTGTTCTTAGCCTCCATCTGTGGCACACTAAATGTGTGGGTGATACTGGAGGGCTTGAAATGACTGAGTTTCACCTGTTGAATCAGGGCTGGAGGGTGTCGGTGGCTCTGCACCAGCTGTTGACTGTGAATCCCGACAAGCCGGCAGCTCATCTTCCTGTTGCTGGCTTCTGCTGACTTAGCGCTGGCTGAGGAGTCCTCACTCTTGCTGAGCCCTGGCTGACTCATGACATCTGTGCTGCTGCCCTTTGTCTACAAAAACTTGAGTTTGTACTGAATAAGTCTCTAGGAGGGGTCTTGAGCTAGTCCCTTATTGCTATATTTCACTGTTCTGCAACCACAATTCAGAGCAAATGTTCTGTAGAATGTGTCTACTGCATTTTTATCCACTCTTCCTCTAAGAAGCTCAGAGTGGCAGGGCTATTTTTGGCACAGGAACGGAGTTCCAGCTGGCTTCAGAGTTGGCCACACCCACTATAGCAAAAACCTCTGTGTGCGTGGCTACAGAGGGAAGGCCTGGAGAGCGACCCACCCCGGTGACTCCGAGGCCTCCCCACGCCTTCCCTGGTCTGTCCAAGGGCTGGCTTGCCCGGGCGCCCCGCAGCCACAGGGCACCCGGGCAAGCCAAGGAAAGGCATGGGGTGTGGCCTAATATGCTAATGAGTTTCTGCTGTTGGGTGTGGCCTATTATGCAAATGAGTTCCTGCAGATTAGTATAAATAATGTTCCCTTACAGTAGCCAACAGCCTGAAGAGAGAGAAAAATGTCTTGTCCCTTTTACAGAGGTCTAGTGTGCATGGAAATAGGCAGCTGAAGCTTTTCATGGCGTATGGGGATAAATGACATTACCTGGTAAGGCTTTGAGAGCAGTGTGGCACAGTGGTCAGAGTGTCAGACTAGGATTTTGGAGACCCAAATCTGAATGCCCACTCTGCTACGGAAGCTTGCTGGGTGACCTTGGGTCTGTCATATACACTTAGGTTAACCTGTGAGGATAAAATAGAGGCAGAGGAGCCCTGACCTGGATAGCCCAGGCTAGCCCAATCTCATCAGATCTCAGAAACTAAGCAGGGTTGACCATGGCTAATATTTGGAAGGATGACCCTCCAAGGAATACCAGGGGTGTGATGCAGAGGCAGCCAATAGCAAACCACCTCTGAAATGTCTGCCTTTAAAAAAAAGTCTCGCTTGCCACCTAGTGGTGCATAACGCTAAAAGAGCTAGACCTTCTGGCTGCCATACAATCTTAGGGTCTCCTGGCTACACCACGCACAATGCCATACAATAGTAATAATAATAAAGAGGAGGAGGAGGAAGAGAATGGTGTAAGCCACTTCAGGTCAACATTGGGGAGTGGAGCAGGGTATAAATATAATATAAATTGTTTAGATTCTTTCCACTCTTGTTTTAGGCCTGGTTATGGGAATGAAATAACCTTGGTTGCCCTGGTGGATGACCTGCACCATGAGATGGACAGAGGAAGTGTGACTGTGTTGATTTTCTTGAACCCCTCGGCAGCTTTCAGTACCATTGATCATGGTATCCTTGCAGACCACTGTTCAAGGCTGAGATCAGGAGGCACTGTTTTGCAGTGGTTCTGGTCTCACCTGGAGGATAGATTTCAGAAGGTGGCGGAGGGTGGAGCGACTGCTGCTCAGCCCCTTGGCCTTTGGCCTGTTGGGTCCCACAAGATTCCATCTTGTCCCCTGTTCTCTTTAATGTCTACTTGAAACTGCTGGGTGAGGTTATCTAGAGATTTGGGCTGGGTTCTTACCACTATGCAGGTGATGCTCAGAAGAAGAATTGGATTTATACCCCACCCTTCCCTTCCTCTCCCCACAACAGACACCCTGTGAGGTAGGTGGGGCTGAGAGAGCTCTCATGAGAATTGCTCTTGAGAGAACAGCTTTGAGAGAACTGTGACTGACCCAAGGCAGTGTTTTCTCTAAGCT